TAATCAGATGCATACGGGGATACTAGGCACTGCCTTTGGTCGATGGTATCAAGCAGAATCGCGGCCAACTCCTGACCGATTCGGACGGTAACGCAAAAGGGAGTCCATTCCTTTGTCTGCGCCCCTAAGGCTATGGTGCGTTTTATGGTGGCGCTGACATCAGCTAACAGTCATCATTCTTCCGTCTAGGTTTGGGCAAAGACTCCTTTGTCTGCTGAGGCCCGATCACCGATAGTTGGCATCGTACAATACGCGGCTGCAATGCAAGAGGATTAGACACAAATCAGACAGAACCAGCTCAACGGTACCTAGTGCCGGCATGAAAACGTCATATTCATTAACCAGAGACGCCTAATTCGCTAACAGATCAAGGTCCAGCATGCGTAGTGTTGTCTGGGAACAATCTTGACGAAGAAGCGTTCGTGACCATGAATCATCTTTTTTCATAGAGAAGACATAGCCCGAGATTATCTCTAACAGATCTTCCGTCAGCGTCCAAGTAATAGCAATGCAGAGGATGGCACACCAAGTCTCCCATAAGTTCAAAAGAGTCTACACTCGTGATAGTCGCCGGAGCGGAACCTGACCGGTAGAGGAAGCTGTAGGTTAATTCGGGCAGCCTGAGATGGTTTCTGCTGTTCCTTCGATGCCCATGCGGAAGGAATTTAGAAGACACTTAAAAAAGTGATAAGCACATTATGAACCTCTAGCGGCTAGCCGGGGGGGTTAAACAGTATAGGCTGAATTGAACGTGTCCGACTGCCTGCATTCATTTCCGACGGACTGCCTTAATTATACAGACATACCTTTATGTTACTCGCAATCGCTCCACACCGGAAGTGACCCTCGTAGCATAGTCATATCAACAGGACCGTAGCGTTCCATGCCTAAAGGAGAGCGAGGAGTCACAAGCCCAATTTTACCTGTGAAATTGCAGAACACGTCCATTCGGACTGTCCAATAGATAGCTGCATCAGCCTGATTGCTCCGAGGTGTAGACTTTAATGCACCTACTGTATTAAGTTTGAGTTGCTCGACGCCGTAGGCAACATTTATGCAGTACATCGAGAGTCAACGCATTTTATCGGCATTTCCATACCAAGTTCCTAGTGAGCATTCGTTGTGCAATGCAGCTGTTGGGAGTCGGCGTTCTTTCCGGGGGAAAAACGTTCACGTGCTTGTTCAAACTTCGGTTACCCGGCCCGAATGCCAATGGTCACATATTTTCCCACCTTTTCTCTCAGAGTAATAGCCAAGCGTCTACAGGTCTCCAGTCTTGTATTATCATTTGACGCGAAGGAACGCTATACGCGGCACGGGGTAGCCACATCTTAGTAGCCTAAAGACTCTTGTTACTCTGGAGTGATTTGGGCTGTGATACCCAAACCGTGTTCTTCTGTTCAGTCGATGCCCGCAGAAAATGTACCTAAGGAGCAAATCGCTCAATCGGTATGCACCCGGTACGCATAACAGCAGAGAAACTCATTGCATTTACGGTCATAGCCTCTTGTAGATGAAATCTGCTCTAACGGCAAGATTTTTGATTCTGGGCGCGCGATCGCTTTTCGAAGAAGCTCAAAGAACTCTGGTAATCTTTCAACAAGTTTGTCAACGATGATAGAGGGTGAAAAGGTTATATCAACGCACTCCTTGTCCTTCTTGCTCGAGCCGAACGTCCTCGGGTTTGACAGACCACATGATACATGCGGCGTTTAACTTCTGCTCTCCGTGGGTGAACAAGCTCCCAAGCTACCCTGGACGCAGTGTAAGCTTGCTAGCAGCTGAACGTCACTGACGTTGACGTTCAAGCATGTTTAGATTAGCATCTAGACGTGCGGTTCAATTGTCTCGTATCCTCCAGCAACTTCATTGCACACTTATCCCTCCTCGTGGAGCTATCGGGAGTCCGACGGACCATTCACGTCCTTCTCTGTGACCAGAAGATGCTATCATCGCAGCCCTTTGTGCCGAGGAAATGGCATTCTCTGATTTATACCCACACTCGTGTCCTACAAGCTCGTCAGCCTATCCGAGTACCGCGCAGATGGTCGAAAATGCTGGGAAGACCGATCCTTCGGGTGGAGTGCATCCAAGCTATCCTTTGCGCATTAATTGATTGTCCGTTAGCCTGGCATCGAGTCAGGTGCATCCCCTCAATTTCAGCCCTCCTGATCGGCGTGTCCATACGGTGTACTTTTGAATCTTCAACTTCGGGTACGTTTTTTTAACTCCGCCTCATCTTTTCTTTCGAGGACCGGCGTTGATTTCTATCAAACAATTTTAACTCCAGTAACACTCGTCAAGTGATTGGTTTAAACAACACCGTATCTGAAGAAGCTGTCGCCGACGCCACTGTTTTTCAAAATTTGTCTGGAGCCAGGCATTGCTGCGGCCCAACGGTTGTGGAATTCAGAATAACAGTCTGAGGTTTGCAGCAGACTTCGCGTTGTCAAGTAAAATTTCGACTTGCTACTACTGGAGGGATACACGTGCCTAAACTTATACGCCATTTGACCAAATGCACGTTTGCCGACTAAATTCGAACAGGTGGTTGCGCGTAGAATTGAAAAGGGTATAGTCCGGATCCGGAAACCGGCAATCGGCAATAGCCGACGTACACCCCTTCCACCACCACCCCGTCATCCGGGTTCCAGTATTCACCCCAGACTTATCGCTATCGACACCGAGTCGCATCCCCAAATCTTGTTTGCTTAAGTAGAAGGAATGACAAGGAGATTGATGCCCATTTCCTCTAGATTCTAGAGATATTCTGACCTGATATTGTACGTGGCGAATGATCTTACTCCCATTACCAGCTTACCGAGACAGCAGATTTGCCTTTCTAGATTATATATACTCTGCACTATGGACGCGTTTCCACAAGAACTCATCGAGGCCATCATTGACGAACTTTCCGACGACCGAGAGGCGCTCAAAGCATGCTCTCTCGTCTCGCAATCATTCTTTCCTCGCTCCCAGAAACTTCTCTTTTCCTCTGTCGTACTCGACTCTCGAGACGACTCTAGTCGAGTACATAATCCTTCGGTTGATTTCCTGAAATTGCTAGCGCGGTCGACACGTATCGCGCCCCTCGTCAGGAACTTCACCGTCTACAACTTTACCTGGGGGAAAAACAGCTGGTTCACACAGGACCAGAACGTCGTGCCACGGATACTTGGCTCCCTAGCCAACCTGAGAAAGATGACTATCTCAGGGCGACATTACGACCGGAGGTGGGACGGCTCAAGCGACATCCGTACTTCGTTGTGTCAAAGCTTCTCCCTGCCCCACCTCAAATCTCTTTCCTTAAACTATACATCTTTCCTACGACCCTCCGATTTTCTCCAGCTGTTCAGCAACAGCCGTGATCTGAAAGAGTTACGACTGATGAATGTCTACATCAGCGACCAGCTCAGCCTTCAGGCGCATCCGGACCGCGAGCACAATACCCCCATCGACGACGAGCGGCTAGCTCAGAGACCGAAACTCCGGTATCTACGAATACAGAACGTGCCTGTCGTTCTCATTGACACACTCACCCACCCTCACTCTCCGCTGGACCTCGGCTCCCTCCGAAGGCTCCAAGTATGGTCCGATCATGGAGATCAGAGTGACCATCTCCAGCGTCTCCTCGAAGCTGCCGGTGATGCGCTAGATGAAGTCGTGTTTCACGGGTTCTCGTCATGTACGTTACTACCTATACACTCGCTTTGCACTCAACTGAATTCCGACCATTACAGCAACGAACGGTTTGGACATCTCCCATGTCCCCAACATCACATGTTACTTTTCCAACTTCTTTTCCGACCGTGTGGCCAACCACACCGTCCTCTCTGGATTGACGGAGCTGTTTTTCCAGCGATACTCTCGCGACACGTCCCGCATGGAGACTGTCACTTTTAATTTGCGATCGCACCCTAAAGCCATTATAGACTGTCCTCGGGATGAGTGGAGGCGACTAGAAGAAGCGATGATGGTGGTGAAGAGGAAGGTCAGGTTTGAGATACCTGTCAGGGATATGAAACGGTCCATGAAGGACCCATTGGAGAGGGAGTGCTTGGCCGCAGTGAGGAGGGGAATGGGTATGTTGAGCGATAGGGGAATCTTGGAGGTAGACATGGTGCAAGGACCATAACGGTAAGACTCGGACTTTTCTTAGACCATCGGACTCTCTTCGTTTCAATTGCATTCCTGTAACAATATCAGATACCAATGTATACTGTCCGCTGTCACGGTTTCCACCTGTTAACTCTAACTTACCTTGCGAACTGATCGACTAAAAATATAGTGTGACGGATCAGCAACACCTCAGTTTGCGACTGATTAGTTGTAGGCAAAGCATACCCACGGCGCCCACCACCGCGTCCGCGAAGCGTAAATGGTTCAACGGGGCCGACACATGTGGCAACATATGATTTGATACCGCTGTTGGAATATACATTTCGAGATGGTCAGCTCTAAGGTCGAACTTCTTTTGTAAGGTCCCCCAGCAAACGAATGAGAATTCAGTGCTCACTGACTCCTGACAGTGATGTACTGAACATGTACAGCGTAAGCCTAGCACCTAGGCCACCACGGCGCACGCCCGTCACCAAGTCAACATGGAAAAACATAAAAGTATGTAATTGATGCGGATTCCCCCTAGCCGACTTGAACGACTGACCTCGTCATTACAAGTGACGCGCTCTACCAACTGAGCTAAGGAGGATTGCTGACTTATCACATTTACACATTACATGCCCGTGTGATTCAAAGGTGAAGAAAATCCTTCATAACACCAAGTCAGGCCAGAGGAAGGCTGAAGCTACTACAGAGAAGTCTGACTGGTAAAATTCAATATATATGGTGCATACATACGATTTGGTTGTACACCTGAAGGTAAAAGCTGTAGACAATCTGTGACTAGCCACCCTGTCCGACCAATGCTACAGCGTTGTGCTCGCTCAACGACGCTGCTTTAGTGCGCAAATGAAATAAAAAGGTGTAATACAGAATAATAATTCCCGCTAGCCGGATTGAACGACTGACCTTGTCATCATATCACAATCATTACGAGTGACACGCTCTACCACTGAGCTAAGAGGGATCAATCTACATTCCTCATGCTCTTGCTATGGTGGTATAGAATCAATCTTGGCTATTCAACCTCATGCCCACCGCATGGCGGGCAGTAGCAAGTAATTTTTCCTGCTTCATTAGCTGCTTTGATATGACTCAATACCCCACAACCATGAGCAATAGCGATCACGATGAAAAAGTCGCTTGCCGATTAGGCAAAGCACTCTACCACTTTGCTTCGGTCTTACGTATCCCTCAGGCGGAGTATCTTCAACAGTTCCTGAAGGAAAACAACCATCTCGCGAACGGAAGCGAAGACGAAATAAAGGTGCTGGTTTTTGGAAGCATGGAAAAGTTTGAGAATAGGTGGTGCGAGATCGTTGACCAATTCACCGAAGATAGGAAAAAGCTGCAGTCGTTCCACGAAATGGACGAGTATTTGGTGAAAATGGATAATCTATGTAACCAGACACTGGAAACATTTGAAGAGTAAGCCCCAGTACTTATCGCTTCGGTACTCCTGACTTACGTGCTTAGTTACATGCTGACACCTATCAGCGCTCGATCCGCCATTAAGACTATCATCAGAGGTATATTCCCCATGATCCCAATGCCCTTGCAGTGGCGAGCCCTCGATTATTTTGAATTCTATCTGTGAGTTCCAGAATCCACTGGAGCGACGCGTTGCGTAAACTCCCTTCGTTGTAGAAATCAAATCAACCAGGACATGTATGATATGTATGAATACACAAGGCTACTTGAACCTCGGTACCTCTTAGGGTCAGAGTCTGATATAGGCGGTATTGATGGTGAGAAACTGCATAACCGGCTCGAAGAGCTCGAGTACGCACCATCATTTTCTTCGTTGCTAGCGAAAGGAACTAACGCACAGAGCAGAACTCGTGCACTGCATCCAAAAGCGAGCGAAAATACTACGAGCCAACGAAAACAAGAGAGATTTGACACCATTATCGGCGACCTCGGTTCCGAAGAGCAACAACCGGCTCAAGCGAATTCTGAGAGGAAGGAGCTGCTGTCTGAGCAGAATATGTTCGAGAGAGATTCCCAGTATGTCATATGTATCGTGGTTGTTGCATGTTGCATTAAACGCAATTTGAAGATCGCCCGACTCATATAACGACAAGGAGCCATTGGACGTAGATTCCAATACTTCGGATGATCCCACTAGTACCAGCGCCTTCCATTTCGACGATGCCACCCTGTCAGACGAAGAGCCCTTATTAAGGTCCGTACAGACGTCAGTGATCTCAAGGGTAGCGCCTGATTTTCGCGTTAGAGGAGAAGACGATGGAGAAGAGGACATGCCTACCTCGGGAGCATCAGCCTTTACGAGGAACATCAACAATCATAGTAGCGATCCTCCCGAGCCCCAGATTGACCCATTGGGAACAAATAGCGACGCCCCAAATCGCTCTCCATTTTCGAGTCGCTTGTCACCCAGCCCGCCTCCATACCATTCAACTAGTAAAAACGCCGTGGAGAAAAGTCTCGGTCTTGTCGAAAGATTCGAACAAGATCCCTTCTTCGCTATAACAACAAAATATATCAACCCAACGCAATACTTTTTGCTTCGCAGAGGAAACTGTGAGGTACCCTTTAGGGTGGTTCGAGGAGGCATAAAGGGCGACGCCTGGTCCTTCGTGGTCAACTTGACATATACAAAGGAGCAGGTGCGACAGTTATTGCAGTCATGTCGTCCAGCAGACAACAAAATGGCCGAGGACCTCGTGCAAACGCTCCTTCACCGCCCGAGTTCTATCCATAAACGGGTGATAGCCACGAAGAAGGGTGCTACCCATTACAAGGTTGTCGACGTTTACATCGAAGAGGAGTGGAAATTCGGGTTAGAGCGTAAAGTGACGTTCGATGAGTTGAAGGACATGTTGCACCAGAGCTTGAGGATGGAGAGAGGATCTGAATTCTTGTGGATGTAATTGATGCTTGCGTTCGAGTTCTTGTTAGTCTCTCAATAACGCACCTTGATGCCAGACCAATCAGATAACGCGGTGCGATATCTTCAAATAGCAGGACCTTTAATATCCGACATGACGCACCAATTTGCTTGAATCTAGGCGGATCTAGGGTAAGGTTTGGCACTTCATGTCGAACAGTTAATGATCGAGACGATCGTGCCTTCGAGATAAGATTCGGTGTCCAGTCCTGCCATGACTGGTTAGCGCACCGGTAAACAACCGCTCATCCAAATGTGTGAGACGTCCACATTAAAACCTTACAAATATATACACCGAATGATAACGTCTTGACTCTTCGTCCCCAAGTGCCGAGCAACGGTATGGGAGTGCGGGGATGAAAATCTCGATCCCCGCATCATCGTCCATTAAAAGGTCCGCGGGGGCAGACTGCAGATGTGCCGGTTGTCTGTAACAGCAGACCAGATGCTGCCTATCTTCAGAATGAGCAAGAACGTCAAGTAGTTATGACGTAGTAGGAAAGGCGAATAGGCGCCCAAGCGTGGCACATGCCGAAACGCTTACAGGGCACAGGGACAGCGGGTCTTAGGCGCCCTTATCAATACGACATCTGTTACCTTTGCACACACAGAATCATGGATGGTCGTCCGGAAAATAGTAGGAATTTGAACGCCTGTATCACCATTTCGCATGCCTTGCATCACTTTCTCTCGATAATACAAACTTCGCACTCTCAGGAAGACGATTCCGGCGACGTCGATGCAGGCAGAAAGCGTCTATCCTGGACCTTCGGGAGTAGACAAGAATTCGAGGATTGGTGGACCAGGGAAGTCGAAAGGATGGACCAGAAGCGACGAGCCCTGAGCACCTTTGAAGAAATGAACGATCACTTGGAATACTTGGAAAGTATTTGCAGGACAACGGCCATACAATCTAGTAAGGAGTAAGTACCCGACTTCGCATAGGGCATTTGATTGCGCTCACGGAGAAGCAGATATGAAATGAAATTCATCTGCGCCCAATCGGCCGTGAAACTTATCACACAAGGAATATTCCCCGTTGCGCCAGACTCAGTAGTGTTGGGATCATTGGACCTCCTCGATTATCATTTGTGCGTGAAGTTACGCCAACATCCAAGAGTTGCTTAACCCTCTTTGTAGAGGCAGGAAGCAGGAACATAAATTTCAGAGAATTGTCGCGCCCCAGTGGGAAGATCCGAACCCTATGACGCAGGAGACGAAGAAGAGGATTGCCAAAATAGAGTATGTCCTCTGGTCGGCGGTTTCAGCTCGCATATTTATGACATTTGTGGCAGGGACTTGTGTCGCTCTGACCCCATCTTTGTGTATCGAGCATCGCGTGTGGCAGATCCACCTATTATTGGTGAAAGGGCTAGATCTCCTTATCAATTCGTGAATGTATATGTCAAGGAACCAAAGTGAGCCACCAACATCGTCCAAAAGAAAGCGCTGAACATTTATGGGTACTTATAGGCCTCGAAATACCTTTGCAGACATTCTAGAGGCGATGCGGAGCAAAGCACCGTGCGTTGATGATAAATTTGAAAGAAAGGGCGAAGTAACATCCTTAACAGGGTGAATAATGAGCAAAAGAAACAGCCTCCGCAAGGAAACACGGAACAGTCTAGGGCTACCTCTGAGAATTTACGTTCTGACCCTGCAGCAAAACCTGCCGAGTTAGATGGGTTCGACAACCTCAACTCGGAGACTCCTTTCAGGTGAGAGGACCCCCACCCACTTGCGTGTCAGAAGAAACCAAACGGTCCTGTTAGTTACGACGATGATTCAGGAGACTCGGAGCTCCTTACCAGAATTAGAGAGGCATTTTCAGATAATTCAGAGCCAAGTCCCGCAGCACCCAAGACACCCGAGAGACGACGCCGTAGCTCCAGCTGTGCGCCCAATACCCCATCGCCGGCGAAAAGAAACATAGAAGAAGACGAGCCAAATCCGGATCAATCGTCGTTTGCCACACCGAAAGACGAAGATCTCGCCGCGATGTTTTACGGAAATCCTTGGTTCGCATTTAAGAAGCGAAACCCAAAACAGGTGTTCTTGTGGGACTATAATGTCGACTGCGTGCCCTTCAAAGTTGTGAAAGGAGGGAAAGTATTAGGCGAGTGGGTATTCGCCCTTGACATGGTGTATAGGAAGGACGTGTTGCATCAATTGCTGATGGTCACGTCATTCCATGGTAGCGACCCTGGCAACAAGATGATGGATATCCTGCGGAAGTTTGATGGACAGCCGGAGGTGGTCTACAAGAAAACGTTCGTATCCAGGGATAAGGCTTTTCAGTTCACGGTCAAAGAACTCTGGTGCGACGAGGAATGGAAGTTCAACCTGGAAGCCAAGGTAACTTTCTCGAGGCTCCACAGCATGATGAAGACGAGCCGTAGGGTGGAAATGGAGTCAGAGTTGTGGCCGGACTGGTTAGATTTTTCTGAAAAGAAGTGAGGTTCTGGAGATTAGAGACTGGAGCTTGAAGAATGAAGACTGAAGACTTTGCTGTCGGAACGTACGTACATGGAAGGGACAATTTGTATCATCATTTATCGTGTCAACAACAAGATCGTCGCGACGGTTGATAATTTCAACGATAGAAGCCTGAACAATCAATGCGAGATCGAATGAACACGCCTTTAAAGGAATAGCTATTTTATGGGGCCACAAAAGAACAGTCCAATCACCAACGTTGATGTGAAAGAAGACATGTACCGCACACCAATATGCATATTAGTTCGCAAGGGTTGGAGAGAAAACGAAGCGAAGGCAGTTATATACTTTCATGGACTCACTTGGAAAACAGACAAATTCAGTCATCCAGCTTCAATATCTTTATCGCAGTACCCCTCTTTAGTGCTAGCAGCTCTTCGCTTGTCAGTACGTCCGAGTCTGCTAGACTATTGACCCACTCCTGGCCTTCACTGATTAGAGCGAAGGGATAATCAATCGAATGCATAATCCTATCCAAACCTATCTGGGATTTGTGGAATTGCAGCAACGGCGTTGCGAAGTTTCCAGCAGTCGTCTCATACAAATTCGTGAGCCAATAC